CCGCCAAAAATCTATGCAGCTTTTATCCCGCCTTCCACCTCCTCTCAAGGGCGGTTTTATATTAATCAAAATTTTTAGCTGCTCGTCTAGTGTGTAGCTTTCGTTGCTTTGCGCCATCTTTTCAAAAGTCGCGAACAGCGCATGCCTGTCGTTCATGTTTTTTGTCCTAGGCGGTAAGCAGCAGCCCTTTTACCTGCCTCTTGCAGTGATTTATGCTCTAAGCTCACTGAAAAGCGCACAGTTTCCATCTCTTCTTCTGAAAGTTTTTCCTGCTGCGCAAAATCTTTCAAAATTTCGTCGATAGCGTTTGAGTAATTTGTTCCAAAGCGCCTAGACCTATCTTTCCTTCTAATTTTTCAGCGTGATCGCCGATCTGTAGGTATAGCTGTTAAACTTTTTGTGTTTCGTCTTTGCTAAGGGTGTTCGCTCGTAAATTTGCGGCAGGCCTACCGCATCGTCAATCTCAGAGCTCCACGGGCCGAGTGTCCATTGTGTTCCGTTGCCCTCTTGCATCGTAAACGGTGCGCTCTCCAATGTCGTTGGCGATGGAGTGGGACTCGGTGTGTACTCCACCAGCTTCCTCTTCCTCGAAGACGTTTGGTCTTCCATTCTCTATCTGTAATTGTTTATTGTAACTCGCTCTTTAATTCAACAAACAACTTGAAAGGATATTTTAGAAATTTAGATTGGAAACGACGAAGAAAAGAAATAAGGCTAAAGCTGCTGCAAATTAAGGGAAATCGTAGGATGGGTCGTTGAGGCTTTTTACCGAAACTTTTACAAGATTGGTTTTTGGGGGAATTTACTACTATCCTATAATTTAGCTGGTCAACCTCGTGGGCCAACCCTTTCGCATGTAAAGCTAATACACGCTTGATATGGGAGAGAATTTTTTCTTCAAGCCCTTCCGAGCATAGTTTCACGTTCTTGAAAGCAAACTCGTAAGTCTTCTCGTTCGCTCCGATGGTACAATAGTCGAAGAGAATCGGGAGATCTTCCTTATCCATATCTGAAAAGTTTTTTATTTCATTACAAACTTCTGAATAAGCACATTAGAGAAATGGAATGCCAGGAGTGAAAAAGTTGAAAAAAGTAATCTATGCCCGAATAAAAATCAATAAAAGAGAGGAAGTTGAAAAAAGTAATCTACGCCCGAATAGAAATCAATAAAAGAGAGGAGGAAAATGTACGTGAATTAAAGGTATGCATTTACGTAGATAATAGTTTGATTTTTGTGAAGCATGTCGAAATCTTTGGGCGATTGCAAGTTGTGATTGAGCATTGTCGACTTGAGTTTTCCCATTAAAATGTGGGTTTTGGGGTTTTTGCGAGTACAAGATTGCACATGAATCGCTTTGAGTCCGTTTTTGGTGAGCAATACGTGGTTGACGGTCACGTCAAAAAATGTGACGGGCTTGTTTTTAAGCTTTTCAATTTCGCTTAGCAAAGCCAGAGTGGCATTTTGGACGATGACCTCTCGGTTATGCCAGAAATTTGTGCGATCATTGGCCGCTGTGATCGCCCCTAGCACCCCTTCAAAATTCAGGGTGCCTTTAGCGCGATACTCCCCATGCGCCTTTTCGCAAAAGTGCGGATGACGGGAGGGAGGCATCCTGGGGCTCTCGTCACGGGAACCCAGTTTCTAAACTCCCCGCAGAGCTGGTCGATCGACTCTTCGTTTTCCCATTGACGGAGCATTTCTGCAAAAGCTTTATTTAAGAAGTCGTACGAGGTCTTTAGGCAGAGGATTGGAGCGAACATTGAAGTGAATATACAAGTCCATGGGAGTCGTATGTAGAGGACGAAGCATTTTGAGATCTTCCGGTCTTATTTGTTTGAGAACGTAGTCGAAAATTATTGTTCCATAATCCCTATCTTTAAAGCAAGGTCTAAGGGTAAAAACATATTCAGACCCTTTGTTTAACGATATAATAATATCAAACCTTCTCACCTACATAACCCTTTATCTTTTCTGCATACTGACCATTTTTTTAACCAATCTATCGACAACTTGAGAGCCTTTTAGTAAAAGGCATCTTCCATCTGCTCGTCGCTCATATCAAGTGTCTTGTCTATCTGATCGTCAATGATTAGTTGGATATCATCAATTCTATAGCCTTCGAGCCAAGGAGTTTCATATCCAGCCGACTCCTTTGCGTCAATTTTTTGAGGGCAACCTCTTTTATGCTAGCGCGGGCCTCCAGGCGTCTACCCCTTTTCGGGCAGGGCATCTCTCTAAATATTTATTCGCATGGTTGCATTTGTGGTAAGGGCATAGAAGAGTCAGTTTTTGCGATTTCAAAATCGCTAACCATTTGGAAATTAAGGAGGGGTTTTTTCGCTAGCTGGGCGATGACTTCAAAGCTTTGAGTTTCCTCCGTTTCTAGTTTATGCACAATATCGCATTGGGTAGTGACATGACAGCGCTCTATTTGTATGCGTTCAAACTGCGCTCCAATACTTATGCAAACTCAAATTCGAGCCATTTTATTCCTTCTATCGCGTTTGTAAAGGATTTACACAGATCTTTTTTAGAAGCAGCTGCGCGGCATCTTCTATGTCGTACCTCGTCTTTTCGCTAGCCAATTTTTTAGCATGCAGCCGTTCTGACTCGTAATATTGATTTCAAAAGGGTTGCCTTGGCTTGCATGTTTTTTAAAATACGGATTTCTAGAGATAATATGGTTTACCGCTCTCGCGATCAAATGGCATAGAGTTGTTTTAAAAAGCTGGTCTCTCCAGCGGAGGGGTATTTCGGTCCTTTGAAAAGTTTTCAGTATTGTTAAACCTAGATTTAGCGTCGTAATGGTTTTGGGATCGACTTGAAAAGGTGGTATGACGTCCCAAATGAGTTCTTCGAGCATAAAATCGCGGCATAGCTCAGAGCTTAGCCCTTTCGGTGGTATTTCGCCCTTTCCATCTCGAACCTGACATTTTTATTTTGGTTTAATCGTAGTAGCAAAGGATAATATTCGGAGCTATCTATAACGGGCGTGCCAAATGTGATACAAAAAGACATTTCTAGATCACAAAACGGTTTTTCGAGTTTTTCGTTTCGAGTTTCTCTCGCAAAATTTTAAACATTGAATTAATTTGCTCAAGACCTAGTTCCTCAAAGGTGGCGTAACTGCAATTATCAATAGAAACTGTCAAAGCAGGGCAATCGTTAAACATTAGATACATTGTAAAGTCGTTTTCTTCAGCATGAAGTTTGGAAAGACGGCGTCTGTGCGGATCGAATCTCCATGAGGTTATATTTTTGCTGTGGTACAGCAAAGAGCTTACTACGATTGTTGTCAAAAGAGGTGCTCTATCCCAAAGTTTTTATCGGTATTGTCTTTGATAAAACTATTATAAACGGGGCAGACATAAGCCTGTCTGCATTTTAGAGCCGGGTCGCCGGGAAATGTGCAAGCAATGACCCCATCCTTGGCCCCCGAAGTTCGATAAAACCACCGTATGTGGACATGGTTCAAAAAAAAGAAATCGGTATCCACGATGCAGGAATATGTTTTGCCGTGGGGACGGCTCCCTTATATACCCCTGCTCCTCCTCTGTTTTCTGCTCCGCTCTCCGGGGTGGGGTTGGAGTCGTGAGCACGGGCTTGTGTCGCTTGAAGCTCGCTAAAGCCTAAAAATGCACAAACTCGCCATTTTGGAACGTTTGTTGGAATGTTGGAATGCGTTGGCCGGGCGGATAGAGCGTGAGAGGGCGTGGCTATTGAAAGTGGGATGCGCGGGGAGGCAGAAAGCGCCATTTGTTGCCAAACACCGTTCCTGTGCGCTGGGCGAGAGAGAGCATGAGAGGGATTGGAAATGCACTTTTTGGGCACGGGGAGGCAAAAAACGCCCTTTGTGGCCAAACGCCGTTCCTGGGCGCTGGGCGAGAGAGAGAGGCGACTGTGCCTTTCGAGGCGCGGGGAGGCAAAAGAGCCTATGTAGGCCAAACGCGGTTCCTGCAAGTAGTGAAAATGCGTTTGCTCGATGTGAACGTCGTTGGTGGTCCGGGGAAACCCCTTTCCTGTGTGAAAAGTGCACATGCACTGTGAAACATTTTGTGGAATTTATGTCACTGACATTTTTTCTATTTTCAGTAGATGACATAAAATAGGATAGTATTGTAGTCATTTTGATCCTGAACTTCCTTTTCCTCTTTAAAAATACATATAATTCCTTTATTGTTCGATTTGATACGAAATACGGTTGAAAATGTATGTAAAATATACCATTTTGGGCGCTGGGATACCTTAGAAAATTCAAAAACGCAGAGAAAAATCAATTTCCGGGCTCTAAAAACCCAAAGAAGTTTCAAAATAAGCTAAAACGTTTAAAAATATACCTTTCAAGTTGACAAACATATTACTACAATGTTCTAAACTAATTCCAACATCCAAAATGATCTTATAACGCGCCAAAACCCTTTACAAATTCACCGAAATCCGCTCTATCGTTCCCCCCGAATATCACCGGTCCAATGTCTCGAGCCAACCAAAACGGGTCCTACGGTCTGAATACATTGGTGTCTGTGCTTCATTATCAACTTCTCGGTTTTTAGCATCATATTTGCGATCGATTTTCGACGAATTTCCGCTGTGTCGACTTCTTCGTCTGTGTTCTCACATATCGACGTGTCTTTTCTCGTGTTCTGTGCAAATTCTATGTGAATAAATGATTGTACTGATGATACGAAAATTATTTTTTTCTGGAAACTTCGACCATTTCTCCGCCTGACGATCGATAGAAAACCTTCCGAGCTAAATTTTGGTGGTGGAATCGCGGCGGTGGCGAGGCACAACGTTGACTTCAAAGCCTTCTAAGATTCGTGTTCTTCCTCGCCAAGTAGCACAACGTCATTCGATGACAGCCCAAGCACCCGATTTATTACGAAGGGACAGAGGTACAAACTACATGCGATGGCAAACAGAATGATGGACAAACATAGATTTACAAAAATACATTTACAATTTACAGAGAGATGGGGATAGAGCGGCGGGGCTTCTAGAGGGGCTTTTTTGGTCTTGCATCGAGTATATTTGGGTGGTAGTCGAGTGATGGCGATGCCCATCGTTGTGTCGAGTAGGTGGAGACGTGTAGTCGGATGGTTCTGAAAATTTGATGATATTCCTCAAAATATCGCAAAGCACTTACACTTTGCCCCAGTGCTTTCGCTAGCATCCGTTGCTCCCTCCTCGGTGTTGCTGATCGGCGCCACGTCGAGGTCGACGACCGCCGAGCCAGCGCCCACGTTCATCTGCAAAAGCGATCATTGTAGATTTAGGCTAGAGCCAGGCGACTGCTCATCTACCCACCATGTCATCGACGATCGGCTTCTTTCCCTTCGGGCCCTTGTCCTTCTTCTTCAGACAGCAGCACAACACGATGATGATCACGATGATGAACACGCAGAGGCCGCCACCCAAGGCTGCAGAAAGGAGGTGAACAAGTGCAACCAAAGGTTCTACCTGCAATCAAGATGACCTCATCCCCCAGCCCGTCATTCGGTTTCTCGGTCGTTGTCTTTGCAGTTGTCTTTGCCGTTGTCGTCGTCGAGGCTTTTGTCGTACTTGTTGTCATGGCCGAGCCGACGCAATGGTACTGAAAAAAGTGTTCATCTACCTTCATCCCTTCACAAATCTCCCACTTTCAGCCTCTCCTCTTCCGTCAAAGCACTGCACTGCTTGTAGACGACGCATGGGACACCGGCGACATTTTTCTGGTAGTAGAGCAGATTCTTGCGCCAATCCCTCGCATCCGGCTGAAATACGGCAATTGTCTCGTGGTAGATGATCATCTTCTGTCTGAATGACGACTAGAAAACCCACAGCGTCCTTCGACATTTCCCCTCGACACTGCGGAATCGGATTGCACGGTGGGTTGAGTGACCACGGGTCTTTGTGAGTCGACTTCTCCGCGTCACACCAATCCATCTTTTCCTGTAAAGAGTATTGTGGCGAATCAAAAGATATATCTACCGTAATACTGAGGACACCGAAATAGTCGTTTTCCGGATTGCTAGGGATGGGTCGACAATCCGGTTTGTCCGTCAATCCACGGCCATTCTCGTTTCTTGGGCAAATATCCATGCAGTTCAGCAGATCTCCGTTTTCAGCGACAGGCCTCAGGTATTTTTGTCTGTAAAATACAGGGGATAATGGATGAGACTGTGATGCGGACTGACTCATCGAATTCTCCCGGTTGGTCCAGTTTGCAGAACGGCAGTACCATACATCCCCAACTCGCCACATTCTTCGGCTCGAACTGATTGCCGTGAGGATCGGTGCACCACTGAAAAAGGCATCATACTTCTTACGGGGAATTGTCACCGCCATGTGATTCTCTACAAAACGATACTCACCGGCTTGTATCTGCCCTTGCCGAGTATGTAGGTCTTCAACGGACGCGGGTAGCAGATGCGGGCCAGCGAGTCATTGGCCAAGATTTCACTTTAAAGGGGTGGAGAATGCTTGGAAAGAATGAATTGTAATGATACCTCGGAAAGGCATTCTGCTCCTCGCACCATGTCCCTTCGTAACATCCAAAATGCAGCTTCATCGACGCCATCGCCAGTTCATTCGCAGTCTAAAGTCAAAACTCAAGTAGGAAAAGGAACTACAAACCAGTTTGTCAAAATCTTCCCGGCGGCACTTGGGGTTGTAAGTGGGGTTGATCGGGTAGTAGATGAACACGTTCGCATCCTCATCCGCTTGGTGCGCTGACGAAGACGGATACGCTTGATCGGCGCTCCAGAAGCACCAACGTCACGATGGACGCGCTGGAGAATTATCATTATTAATGTTTCGACAAAGATTTTCCAGAAAACGAATGTTTCACAGAAAACGAACCTTCTCTGGCTTATAGTCAGGGCCTCGGAAGGGTGAGTACCACTGAAAGTGAGTATTTCAAAAGGCGTCGAATAAACGAAGTGCAGGGTCCATGGACGGCTGAATTATCCCAGTTTTTATTTTATCATTTTCAAGGTTTTTCGCAATATCGAGGAGACCAATATTTTTCTTAGACTCTAATTTTTCAAATATAAATTGTGAAGTTGTTTTTAAATGGTTTTTTACTATTCCGAAACTTTACAACTTTTAATTCGAAAATATCAAAAAATTTAACTGTTTTCAAGTGGAAAACATTTTAGAAAAAAAAGAAAATTCAGAGTTGAAATTTGATGGTAAAAATCTATATTTGTTATACGTCGTCGGGGGCCCGTCTTCTTTATATTTTCGTAAAATTCATTTTGTGATCGGGGATCCTGGAGGTCGTCTCGAGGAGACCCTTGCAAAACGGCCGGCCTACCCATCGGTCGTCCAAAGGGGATTGGTGCAGATAGACGGGCCAGAGATGATGGTATCGACAGTTGGGATGCTTCGACATGTAGAAATGCTCGGGCTGAAAAAAGCATTACAGCGTCGACTCCATAAAATCAATCGACACTCTGGTAACCGGAAAGGCGAAATAGATTGTAGCTTACCCCTTCGCCCGGGACGAGGCACCTTATTTGACAGGAGGGATGAGCGTTGCTTCCAGCCCCCCGGCACCCATGGCAGTCTTGATGATCTTGCCATTCGGGACGAGCACAGTTCATGCAATACGGATCCGCGTCGTCACACTGAAAGCAACCTCGGTTCTTCTCGTGTAACAGGAGGGTACAAGGTTCTATAAAAATGCACGGAAAATCTCTAGGCCCATCTATGGTCAACTGAAAGGTACCCGTAGGACAACCAGGGGGGGGACACTCAAAGTGTTTATTTTGTTATTTTTAAATATGGTTATACAAAAGTCTCTTATATATTTTTCGGCCCTCCATCCAATAGAATTTTAAAGACTTGAAAATGTTCAAAATAGAAAACCTTAAACCTCCATTAAAGGGCTAGTTCAGCTAATAAAGTAAGATAATTTCCACGGTCAGGATTCGAACCCTCTCTGCGTTTTTGTGTTTACGCCTCTCTCATTTGCCCTCTATCTAAAGCTCTCGTAATGGAGAACTGTCCATGCGCGCTATCCCTGCGTCCATAGTGTCCCAAAGTACCAGCCCAAGCTCTAAAAGTTGAACTACCCTTTAACCTCTGTGTCCCCTTTTTGAGCCGTACAGCTAGCGGTAAAAAACTCGCTAGAGGACGTGATCCGATATCGCAATTTTCGCAGGGTTAAGCCTGAACAGCATACCGGACAATCCTCGACGGCAATCCCTTCGCATTTTGGGCAGCGACCCGCTTGTATGTTCCTATCGTCAGCAATAGGTTGTCCCACGTTGCAGTTGATGCACTTTTCGAAGGGTTCTTTCGAGGGGTTGCACTGAAATGGGGAATCAGATGACCCAATGCGATGAAAAAAGATTGGTTCTGGACGGATAGCGGATCGGGGGAGGGGTTAGCAGCGGGAAAACTCCTTGTTTTTTTCCACCTATTATGTATTTTTGATTGCTGGAAAGTTCAAAAAAAATACTTTTAAAGTTTGAAAACTCAAAATTTTGGTCATTTTTGGGCTATTACATACATTTTTGATCAAAAAGAATCGAAAATTTCGAAAATTTCAGAGTTGTTTAGAATGTTTTGATATTTCAAAACTGAGCAAACTGCTACATATGGTTTATTTTTTGTTATAGGGCCGTGCGAATTACTAAGGGAAATTTCGTTTCCCACTCCCCCTCCAAGCAGTCCAGAACCGAAAAATTGTGACCCCCTTCCCTAAAACCACGAGCAATACATAACTATTCGTCAATGTTCGTAAACATTCGGAGCACAAAAATCCTGTCCATCCCGTCAATTCCCACCACCGACCTTTCGGGCATTCGGGTTGGGCGCGAAAACGCCAAATGGAGCCCATGTAGACGTTGTAGTCGTAGGGGTAGTAGTCGTCGTGGTGGTCGTTGTAGTGGTTGTGGTCGTTGTAGTGGTTGTCGTTGTGGTGGTGGTCGTTGTAGTGGTTGTGGTCGTTGTGGTGGTCGTTGTGGTGGTCGTCGTTGTTGTTGTAGTGGTCGTCGTTGTGGTGGTCGTCGTTGTGGTGGTAGTTGTCGTAGTCGTCGTGGTGGTGGTGGTTGTCGTCTAGAATCAGTATCCGAATACTACATCACTACCAAACCGATGTAGTAGTGGTGGGATCGGGCGGAACAGCGGCGTGCTCCCATCCGGCCAGACAGATCCCCTTCGGCCCATCCTTCGGCTGATCCTTCGTCGAGCATCCCCCTTCTTTCTCGATGAACAGGTCGAAGTTGCAGTTCAGCCACATCGTCTTGTTGAACACCTCAAATCAGAGGTTTTGATACTAATGAGTGACGATCAGGGTTGGTCACGCTGGATCCTAATCGGATCCGGTCCGGTCCGGGGGTCGGTCCGGTCCAGTCCGGTCCGAAATTTCCATCCGGACCGGACCGGACCGGACCGGACCGGACCGGACCGGACCTGTCCGGTCCAGGGTTGGTCCTTTTTGCGTCCCGTCCCCGTCCGTCCGCGTCCGGACGGGGACGCGGGACCGTAACCCTAATTTGCATAAAATTAGGGGACGGACGGGGACGCGTCCGAAAAGGGACGGACGGACAGACGGGGGACAGGGGGACGGTCAGCGTCACCCCGTCCCCGATGCAAATGCCGAAATGCAAATGGATTCCTACCAGTAATTATTTCGGGTCTCCTTCTCGTTTCTTTAGGGGAGTCAAAAATACATGCAACTCAGGCCAAGCTGGAAGTTATATCTAGATGGAGTCGGCGCTGCAGATAATCACCATGTTTTTGGAATTTGGTACTGAGCTTAAAAATTCGAGATATTCAAGTTAGAAAGCAATTGGTTACTTACTCTACCTGCTAGGTTATAAGCACTTCATCGTAATCATGCTATCCACGTTTTCTACCTTGCTCTGCGAAATTCTAAACCCAGCCGATGCGTGATTTGAATGCCATTACTTTATCCCCGTAATTTGCATCGGGGACGGGGACGCTGCCCCGTCACCGTCCGTCCCCACCGTCCCCGTCCCGTCCCCGTCTGTCCCCATTTCGGGATGCAAATTAGGGGACGGGGACCGCGTCCCCGTCCCCGTCCGTCCCGTCCGTCCCTGAACAACCCTGGTCCGGTCCGTGGCGGACCGAGGGGTTTTGATTTGCTAGGAGAAACGGAAATGCAACATGCAAATTCCGAATGTAACAGAGTGGAGTATCAAAAAATGACGCAATGGGGAATTCGCTTAAACAAAATGTATAAAATTATTCATTTCCCATGAGTTTTTGACTATATAAGCGACGGATAGTAGCCTAGATGTGGAAAAATATGTCAAATTCTTGGAGAGAAGTATTTTGCATACAAAATTTTCCATATCTGACTTCTGAATCATGTCTTTTTGTGTCCAGCCCGGACCGGACCGGACCGGTCCGGTCCGGTCCGAAATTCTCGGATCCACTCGGACCGATCCGAACCGGACCGGACCGCGGACCGTACGCGGACCGGATCCTTTGTGACCAACCCTGGTGACGATTATTACCTTGATGTGCGAATGGTTGTCGCAGACTGCATCGGGGGCCACAGGACAGTGGCAGAGGGCATTCTGAAACAGCGAGACTGAGAGAGAGAGACATGGAGAGAGAGTGTGAGAGTGAGAGAGAGTGAGAGAGCGAGAGAGTGAGAGAGAGAGTGAGATGAAACCTACATCCGCGATCGACCGCTGCTCCGAATCCCTGACGACGAAGCAGGCGAGGGGTCGACCGTAGCCTTCCGGGCAGCCCTGCAAAAGAGTGCGTGATAATGCCATCAAAAAATTGTTTGATTTTGAAAGAACCCCGTACCTCTTGAGCATGAGCGCCGGGAAGATGCATGGCGAGGAGCAGGAGCAGACCGCCGAGCACCAACTGGCGCAGCATGCTGACGACCATCGGTGGACGAGGACGAATTCGTATGATGCGCCAGTATGGGGAAATCCATTTCTCTCGGTTTTTGAATGCTAATCATGGGCAACTTCCGGTTCGGTTATGCTAAATTTGTTGTACTGATGGCGAAGCGTTGGAAATGATAGTTTATGCAAATTTTTTAGCAATAAATTAGGAAACATTTTTTTTCTGCCAACCTTATTGAACCGTGGTTTTGCGAACTTCTCGTTTTTTAACGGCTGATTTTTTGGCTTTTAGCGCCGTGAGGCTTATGCTTCACCGCAGCCGCAATACACCACGCAGTCCATCGATCATACGCATATGCGTCGCGGTCGCGTCCGTCCGTCGCGGTCATCCGGCACGCACATTATTCGGGAATCGTTTCGCGGGAAAATTTGCTTTTATGGTCCTCGCCCGAAAAGTGTTTTTTCGGGTAGGAATCGATCCAGAAATGATCAAAATGTAGTTTTCAGTGAAAAAAATGCGCCGGAAAGAAGTTTTTGAGGGCTAAAAAGAACTTTTTTGCTAAAATTCGAGGACCATAAAAGGGGGTACGGGGGTATGTCGTTTATGGTCCTCGGCTAAAATCCATTTTTTCTTGTCGGAAACAATCCCGAAATGTTCAAAATATCGTTTGCAGTTCAAAAAAAGCGCCGGAAAGAAGGATTTAATGGCTAAAACGACTTATTTTGCTAAAAATTCGAGGACCATAAAAGGGGGTACGGGGGTATGTCGTTTATGGTCCTCACCCGAAAAGTGTTTTTTCTTTTACCAAATCAATAGATAATTGTTGGAAATTCATAATGCTTCGAAAAAAAGTGCCGGAAAGATGTTCTTGGTCGCCTAAGGCTTCTGAACAAGGTGCGGCACGTAGCATTGTCAGGCAAGGTGGGCCTAGTCGCTTCGGATGGGCGCGAGCTCGTACAGTGTTTCGAAATCAGGGCGCCTGGGCGCTGCGCGCTGCTCGGGCGCCCTGATTTCGAAACACTGTACGAGCTCGCGCCCATCCGAAGCGACTAGGCCCCCGGTGGCACGAAGCCTTATTTTTAGGCTAAAACTGGGCTGAATGAATTTTTGTACCAAAATAATTTTTGCAGCTAAAAAGGTCTTTCCGGCGCTTTTTTTGAACCGCAAACGATATTTTGAACATTTCGGGATTGTTTCCGACAAGAAAAAATGGATTTTAGCCGAGGACCATAAACGACATACCCCCGTTCCCCCTTTTATGGTCCCCGAATTTTAGCAAAAAAAGGTCTTTCTTCTTTCCGGCGCATTTTTTTTACTGAATACTACATTTTGATCATTGCTAGATCGATTCCGACCCGAAAAAGCACTTTTTGGGCGAGGACCATAAAGGTAAATCAAGCCCGTTTCGCCAGCATTTTCACAAATTCTTCCCGGAATTTTACACGAGACTTTTCGTATTTTATTTAGCCCTTGCTACCCGGTTTTTGCAGGAATCAAGCACTATAAAGTCCACAAAAGTGTTGCAACTTCCTTTCTAAAGCCAAATACACCTTCATTCTTGTGCATTAACGTATTTTACGCTTCAAAAACCTCATTTTTGCTCAATTTTTGATGCAGAATCCCGGCCCCGACCTGTGGCCCCAGGGCGCATTTTAGCCGCCGACCCCTTTGTAGTCTGTTGCCGGGGATTCGGGGGCCTTTTCGAAACGTTTTCCGTTACTTTCAAAAACGTTTTCTTTTCTATCCATATTTTCAGTTTTTGCTTTTATAAACTTGGTTAAATTGCAGATGAGCACCGCGGACAGGCAAGAAGCCTGTCGGCGTGCGTTCAAACGGGTGGCCGAGACGCGAGACGACACCGAGCGGCTGCGGCTTGTCAAAAAGGTGGGGGTTTTAACGACTTTTTGAGACGTGGATGGGAGATAGTAATTGATAAACGAATTCTCGAGCTCAAGGAGTGTGCGAAATGGTTTATTTTAGCGAGTTTTAATGAAAAATCGTACAAAACCTGCGCTGGTATTTTCCTCACTTGATTTCATTGCTTAAAATAGGAAATTCAGAAGCTTTGGATAATAGATTATGGCTAGCGCGCGATACGCGATTTAACAAACCGAAATATGCGTTGCGAATGCGTTGATTTAGCAGATTTTCACAGAAATCTTTTAAGGAATATGCTCTGCCGGTTTCAGAACATCATTTTAATAGTTTAAAAGAGCTACATACTTTTAAAGGCGCTAAAAAAAGGAACGCAAAACCTCCTTGTTTTCCTGGCCCTCGCCCTATTCACCTTTCTGTTTACGAAAACGCAGGAGAAAATCCCGAAATGAGGCTTGGTCTTTCTAAAGCCATAATTATAATAATTTAAGGAAACAGGACCGGGAGATAAATATGCTTTTTCAGGCCCTCGCCCTATTCACCGACGGCGTCGAGCCCCCCGAGCTCCTACTCGACTCCTATATTCAAGAAGTTCAAGCAGTACTCGTCGACCCATCGCTCTCTATTCGTCTGATCGTCATTGAATTCTTGACGGATATATGGTACGTTTTTCGTTTTATTAAAAAAAACTCGCCCCTTTTAGTTTCCTCAGCAAGAAGACTATTCGATACTCGGTGGCCTCGTTTGGCGCCAATTTACTCACCGATGATATGGCCATGTTAAAAGGGGTAGGCTATAGCGTTAACGACTTCATCCGGGTTTTTTTTTAGCTCATTCGCGCCTTCGTTCGGCTCTACCCGACGATTTTCCGCTGCATCATCGACCAGCAGCCCGACCTGTCGCACGAGGAATTTTGGACGGTGATGAGCCAGGTCAAGGGGATTATCCTCAGCTATACCAACGACGACGATCAAGAGTACGGCTTTGATTTTGTTATTATTTTATTGATTTTAGGATCCAAATCCTTGTGTTCAAGTTCATCGAGGTCATCATTATGTGCCAGTCGCTTCGATCGGAGGTGAAAATTTTATAGTGTTATACGGCATTTTTTATGGTATCTCAGGATTAAAAAACTAAGTCTTTCACATTATAGGGGGGGAAGAAAATTTTTTTTTTATAAATCAATTTTTAAATATAAGTAGCGGAGATGTTTCTAAATATTTTTTTAAAAATTTTCCTAGGTGTAAATACTTGAGAAATTTTTCATAAATACTTGTAATACCTGTAATATTTAAAGCACCTTCTTTGTGATAATAACTACTGTTTCAGGGCGCCCACGCAGACTACCTGGTCCACCTCAACGACATCACGCCCGATCACAAGGTGCTGAAGCACGACCAGCTTCACGACGAGGGGAAATACTGTCTTTCGGTGGGTTTCGTGAGCTTTTGGCTTATTTTGGCTTTTTTAGTCGATCCTCGATCAAATCGCGCTGCCGCACATCAGTTATCAATGTTTGATCGTGGCGCTCGGGTCGGCGATGAGTATTGGTTTGTTTTTTTAAATCGTTACAGATATAAGTTTACAAATTTTGATTAAAAACTACAGAATATATAAATTTTTCGACCAAAATTTCACCAAAAAGTTGTTCTAGGTAAGTTTTTTTAGCGTTTTCCACTGGATATATAGTTAAATTCTACCAACATCACGATTAAAACGCTTAATATGACTTTACTGGGCATTGCTAGATTATCGAAAAAACTTTTGGCTGCCGCCGCCTCGATAATACAAAAAAACCTTTAAACTTTACAACTTATGACGATACAAAATCCTTCTTTTTCAGCCCGCATCCGCAACGAGCACGTGAAGCCGGTGATCGACTGCTTGGAAATGTTGTACATCAACTTGCCCCCCACGCTCAGCGCCGAACAAGTGCGTCTTTCTCTTTACTTCTAAAAAAAGCATTTTTCAGGTAAAATCCACTCGAAAAGAGCTGAAGATGCATCTGTTGCGGCTGCTGAAATTGCCGGCCGGTCTGGCCCATCAAAATCGCATTGAGATTATGTTGACGGCGCTGGGGGCCAGTAATTCGGTGAATTTTTATTTAAAAAATAGAATAAATTGATCTTTAAACCAATGGCATAGGTTGAAACGAGATTTGATCTTTTTTAGGAAATTCAACGAGCCCTCTACGAGGCCAAGGAGCAAGTCTACACCAAGCGCCAAAAGCAGAGCGGCTCGAGAGAATCAAGAAAACGGCCGGCTACGGGTATAGTTTATTGCTTTTCTTTTAATACGTGCTTTTCTAAATACTTTGCTAGTTATTAGCTTGAAATTACGCGCTTTATTGGTTTTCCAGGGCAGGGGAATCAGATTTTCTTGTCATTCCGGCTCTTCGTAATATCATTTTCGATTTTCATTTTTTCATTTTCGGCACATTTTCGTCAGCTTTTTAGTAAACTTGAGCTTTATATCAGCGGGAAAATGATTTTAATAGCTTAGAAAATAAATCCGAAATTTTTGAAATTTTTTGGGTTGTTGCTTTCGCATTATCGGGGATCCAATTTTTTTCTATAGGTTTCTATAGATTGCCTAGTGATTAGTAATTATAGATTAGAGTTTATAATAAAATACACTATACTATATTTCATTGAAAAAACAATTAAAAAAGCTTAGTAAAATCTTTGTTAGTCGGACCTCGGCCATTTCTGACCAAGAGTTCAGTATTTTTGTCTTTTTAATCCGGAGTTTGTAAACCTTTACGTTTCGGGATAGTAGTAAAAAGCTGTTTAAAAACAGTTCCGCTTGTTCTATTGGAAAGAAATTGGAAACTTGGACAAAAATCCCGCTCCCCGTTAATGCGCAAGAACCTAAAAACAGTGTTCGGAACTAGAAAACTATAAAATTTATACTAGAAAAACTGGGTCCTGAGGAAAATACGTCACCATTTTCAGGCACCGAGTACGAGGCCGAGGTGAAGAAATCGGCGCTCGAAGCCGACGACGATGAGCCGGCTTCATCCAGCGATCGCACCGGTCTGTTCCACGCACTATATCGTTATTGCACGGCTCGCAGATAAATATTTTTGTTTTTTCTCTCGTTCGGCGTGTCGTGTTGTGCTTGTTTTGTAAATTCATCCGTCCCGTCCATTGTCATGCTTTTGTACTAATAAACGTGTTAACAAGAAGTTGCATGGGTATTGGTCGCTTTCAAAACTTAAATTTTCTTTAAATTATGCTTTAAGCCGCTCGACATCACCTACCAGTTCACATCATCGACCGGCTGTCGCAGGAGACGACCATCAACTTGGTGTTGGCGACGATGGTGCGATTCGTTATGAGTTTTTGGACGTGTTTTTAGCCTTGTCTCCCCAATAAACGGCCAGCTTCCCTGCAGAATTCGTTCGACATCCAGGAGGCCGGCTCCAAGGTATAATTTAATTTTTAGGAGCCCAAAATTCTTTCAGGACCATAAAATGATGCTCTGCCGAATGCTGGCCACGCAGTTGACGCAGCACGGCATTGGGCCCGGCATGTCGCACTTGGACGAGGATAAGCGGAAACGGAAGAAGGGTAAAATTTTGGATTATAGCGTTTTTCAAAAATTCGCTTTCAACGAGATCTTTAGTGACAATCGGGTTTCCTGCATGACCCAGTTTCATTGGCGCCTGGGACCCAGCCCTACCCTGCGGTAGAATTTTGCGCTAATTCTGTAGGCGATTTCAAATCCGCGCAACGGCGAGATTAAAGAAGTGATGGAGCGTTTAATTGCAAGTAGCACACAAAAAGGCCCCATTTTTGGAAATACTTGCCCTTTTTCGTACTAAAAAAGCTTCATAGAAGATTCTTAAATCGGTCGTTGCGCGCATTTTGCAAATAGTATCGGAATCAGCGCAAAATTCTGCACAAAATGTGTCGAGCTCGTTCCAGGTCAAAATGTCAAAGTTAAAACGTCCTTTGTTTCCCGTTTTCCCTAACTCACTTTCAGAACGAGACGCTCTACAACGCTCCGGCGCCATCCTCCCGCCAGAAGCCGGGAAACCGGTTAAACATTCGACTTCGAAGCTCGGGTTCGATAGGAAGCCGCTAGCGAAGCCAAAGGTAAAGTGGCCGGAAATTAGGTTTTTGCTGGTTTTCCCTTGCTTTATTGTTACGTTTAGACGGTAGAAGACACCTATCTGCCCGTCACATCGTTCGACCTGCTCGAGGAGCCGGAAGATGGGGAAGCTCGACAAGGATCAGCTGTTTGCCCTCGGCGTTCGAGCGGTCATGGGCAATGAGGGTACGTTATCAAGATCTTTACAAGTTCCTAATTTTTATCTAAACATTTTCGCTTTTTCACATTAAAAATAACCTTTATTAAGTTTTTACTAGTGTCAAAACAAGCAAAATATCGATCAGCTTTAGGGCATTTTTGGCTTTATGACATTGAAAATAGCCTATGTTATTTTTAATATTCAAAAATCGCAAAATATTCATCTTTTGATATTTCAGAAGACATTGTCATAACGAATCAATAGTGCTCGACTATCAGCTGACGCTCGTCCGGCTGCCTCTCCCGGTTTGAGACGGATCCAAAGACGATGGATGGTATAGAGGTAAGGCTTAGAATTAAGTTTTGAACACTTTCATTTTTGAAAATCAATTTTTTAAATTTCCAGTTTAATTTATCTTTTCACTTTTTAATTTAACGTTTCAAAACTGTTTCCAGATGCTGATCAACTTCGCTGCATCGCCGACCACCACAGCCGCGCCGAGCTGATGGTGCTCTGGTTCACCGAGCTGTACACGCAGTATTTGGGGTGCGCTAGTTTCTCGAGCAGTCATTTTTGCTTTTTCCAGGTAACAGCTTGCGGGGCGGACGGTTACCGACAAGCAGGCGGCGAAAGCAGCCGCCTCGGGAAGTACAACATGATCGTCGACAAGTTTTGCAGGTCGTGGCAAAGGGGGTTGCTGAACGAGATGTAAGCGCTATTCTGGATTTTTTTCGACGGCTTCATCGCGTATTTA